ATAATGTAGAGTCTTTTGCAGACGCCAAAATTTCGTATTGGCTCAAAATGGTTTAGATTTAGGCTTCAGAAAGAGTTGACTCAACAGAGTTCAGGACTTTGTGAATCTGACTACAAAGCATCTGATATGAAGCATTACTAGAAGAGGAAGCAAGATCGAAATTAATGCATCATACAAGACATACTACCAAAGATCCTACTATGAGGATTGATGCAGCAGAGATTGTGGGAAGAACCTAGACCTGTTGAAGCATTAATTTCATAAGGATACAACAATTGACCAGTGTTAAAAGAAAGATCTTCACGGAATCTCTTTCGATTCTAACTAAGGCAGATGACATCTTTGATCATTTTGCTTGCGACCAAACTTCCTTAAGTTACCAAAAGGGGTTGAAATTGCCATCTCTTTGATGAACTTAAAGGGAAAGTATATTGTAATGCATTAATTCTTGGTTCTCACTGCTAAACTGTGTTGTTTTTCGAACAGGATCAGAACAAATTCGAAAAGGAGTGAAATTCCCAGCCAAAGCTTGAAGAAGGCCATGGGGTCGACATTAACCATTTCAGAAACAAAATTGGAAGAGGTGGCAGCAATGTCATTACGCCGATTTTTAGAACCTGTCTTTGAAAGAATTGGAAGAAGTCAAGTGCAGATGCATGGTGGCCAACCAGACAGCTATCAAGGAAAGACATTGAAAATCTGCCACGCTATTAGACAAGGTTTCTCGTACCATGAGAGAAGACTCTGAGGAAGAAGCACTGAATGACGATTCCTTAGAAGCAGCTTGTAAGCAGAGGATGTGTCCTAGGTGCAGACTAAGCCTACCAATGGTTGAAAGGATCCCATTTGACGGGAAAACAATACTACAAAGATGTGCAGAGCACGTCCTAAACCAACCAATGCTTACAATAAGAAAGGCCATATCCATTTGGCGTCAAGCAGCACCATTGAGGGGTTGAACCAACACAGTTGGCATGATGTCATTTCAAAGGTAGAGCGCTTTACATAATCCGGCCAGCTAATTACTTTATAGAATGAGAGCAGTGCATTCTGGGAGATTTGAGGAAGTTTTAGTTAGGGATTTAAGCTAAGATTGGTCCCCTAGAGGATCGCCTCACACAAGGCCAAAAGGTGAACCACCTTCATCTGAAGGCCGGAGCGTAGCCCCAAAACAAGAGTTCAGGACCCAAACAGTGGCCTTCGAGCTAGCTTCGAAGAAGGTTTCGAGAAGAAGGAAGATAGTTCAACGCAGGTTTAGGTAGGGTTTTCTGAGGTACCTGGGGTCTTAGACTGGTTTGTAATTGCAGACAGCCTAGGGAGGTGTGTCTAACCCAAGAGAGGTTGCTTAGAAACCAATGGTAGGATGGGTCAAACCTCCGTGTGGTGGCTCCAAACAATTTGAGTCTTGCGTTTAAGCACCCAAAAACAAGGAACCAGATTATAGGCCCATTCTCTCTTGCTGAACCACCGCTGGAGGAACAAACACAGGAGGTGGACAAACTTGTGCTTGCGGTCCTCTTGGTCCATAAGGTGGAATGTTTGGGACTGGTTGTCCCTGTGGTGCAGGTTGCTGTTGGGGTGTGGGTAAACCCTTTCAATTTGTCCTACGAAAGGACCTACGAAAGGTGCTGGAACTAGTGTTGTGTCTCTTCTATTTGTAGGAAAACCTTCCAACCCCCCCGGGTATAAATTCGAATAAGGGATTAGTGAACCCCCTTGTGCCAGGTATGGCTTCAAACATGGGATTTGGAACCATTCTTATGCCATTTTCTTGTACTGGGCCAGTTCCACCAAATTGCATGGCTTTACTGTTAAGTACTGAGACATTTTGACCTACTACAGGCCTTGGAACAGGTTCGTACCAAGACTGAGGTGATAGTCTTTCATGGTTCTGATTACTAGTTTGACCATTAGAATGTCCATTAACTTGCATAGGTTGTTTATCTCTAGCCAATCTTTGCTGAGGGACATTCGAAATTTCCTCCATGTGTCTTATGTTTGTTAGTTGGTGGTTATTCATTCGATCCAAAAAGGATGTTGCCCACCTTTCCATTGTGTTCATTAATTGCTGTCCCATTGCATCTATTAAGCCACCCCATGGATTCATTAGCTAAGTAGATGGGGCAGTGGATGGTCCAATTCCTTGGTCTCATCCAATATTATGAACATATGCTATTTACTCTGAAGTACTAGTCTGTTCGACTATAGGTTCTGATAAAATGGGAGTTTCTACAGGATGTGTTATCACATTATCCTCTGGATTAGGTATCTCTACCTCTCCTTCCACGCCTTCTTCCATGCGTTCATTTTCTCCTTGTCTCCTATGTCTAGCCATTTCAATTTTGTCCCACTGGGCGTGCCAAAAATATATGTTGGCTTTTTGGCTTTCGAAGGTTATTATTGTAATTGCAAGCGTGACAGCAAGGATCAATTAGTCCATACAGAAATTTAATTACCAACCAATTATCAGACCATTGTGTTTTAGTTCTCTCAGCCTCAATAAAAAGGACTTTTACCGGTGACTTGATTTAGGAGAATTAAATAGAATGCCAATCAAATAAAAAAAAATCTGAAGCATTTCATTAGAATGAAAAACTTACAATGATTCAAACTCAGTTTCGTAGAGGTTTACAGCGACAATCTACTTGAAACTACTCCTATGAATGAAGTGCAGTGCAGAATTTAAAGTACTAGAATGTAAAGAGCAGGCTACGTAAAACTAAGTAAAGTAGAATAAGACTGGTTTTTTGGATCTGAGTGTCGGGGGTTTTTCTGGGGCCTTCTCTGCTATTTATACTACTTAAGGATGACCATCAAATTGTATTTCCAACCGTCGAACTACTCCTCCATGATCGCTGATCATGTTGCCTCAAGATTAGCTCCATTACGCTATCACTTGCAGTTAGGCTTCCCTCTTGAATTTGAACTCAAATGTGAGTAACCGATGATCACTTTATATCTCTCTACTGACCCACTGCTACTCAGATCTCGTAACAACCAATATTAACTGACACGTGTACGATCAAGATCGAAGATTTGAATAGTCTTCCCGTACTACCCTTACTTTGCCACGCGTCGAATTGTAATTGGCTTGTACAAAATATGTAGCCAACATTACCCCCCACACTAATATACCCAATACTTGGTGATATTAGTGGATTAAGGTCTTCTCCCCACGTCTTAAAACGTGCATGGGTTTTGTTTAGGCTTGGCATTGTTATGTTGTTCTCATGAGTGAGATGTTTTGTATATGTATATTGTTGCCTCGTTCTCATGAGTAGACAAGTTTGATTTACGCGTGTACGTATATGCTAACCATCCGGGGAGTGTGGGTCAAAATTAGGACGATATCCCCGTGCAAGTTTGGCTATGGAGCGGTGTTAGGTATACGGGAGGCACATGGGATATATGTGTAGGCCGGAAGTGAAGGCCGAAGTGATGGAGTTAAGGTACAAAGAATTTAATTACGAGTTTATTAGTATGGTGTGAATTGTATTGATTTGTTCATCTTGAAAAAAAGTAAATGACCTCGATAAATTATGAAATTTGAGCAGAGACATGTATACGTGATTTTAAATAATTTTTGTATTTTAACTTTTTATTAAAAAGATCAATTAGAACTTATAATCGGATTATCTTAATTATTGTAGTTTTGATTCATTTTAGCAATGCAGATTTTAGAGGCTGTTTTAACCAACGGAACGAGCTCATTTTTATTGGTTTCGCATAAACTGAAATAAAACATTATTCTGAACACTTTTCGTGTTTGGAACTTTTCTGAAAAAAATTATCTTAGGGTAGTTTCTTTTCGTTTTCAGTTTCAAATTTTTCAGGTGAATTCCGTCTACGTTCTTCTATCAGGTTTTTCTCTCAACCTGTTCAGTTTCTTTTAAATTCGTTCGCATTGTCTTTTATGAAATTTGATTCTGTACAACTTTTGTTTTTTGAGTTTTGGTCAATTCAAATTATTTAAGTATAAAACGGTGCATTTTCATACTTTTTCAGCAAATTACTTATAATTAAATTATATTAACTTTATTTTTTTGCAGGATGGTGGGTCTTACTAACTTTTTTTTTTTTTATGCAGGGCTAACCCACCATATTTTTATTTCTATTTTGATTATTTTATAATCAATTTATATTTCGTGGTGTACGGGGAAGAAACTAAATATCATCGTATCTCGGGAAACTACTCATTCATCTAAATGCAGTTGGAACTACTTGTCTTGTCCCGTAACAAGAATTAAATGTATTTTTGTTTGTGTCTGGTGGACACGTGGGTGTTAAATCTTGTACTCATACCAGTATACCTGTATACAGACCCGTTTTGTCTCTTGGCAACTCGGGTGCATTCTGTTTGAGTGCAGCCGAGCTTCCTTTGCAGGATTAGTTGGGGCAACGGTGATGACATGGAGTAACTATAGTTTTTGGACATATCTCTTGAATTTCTTTTTGTTTTCTTAAGCTTAGGGTTAATATTAGTTTATGTATTTATTATTTTTTTATGACTTTAGTATTTGGATAATTTGGCATGGTTTGTAACCATACATTATTTAAGTTATTTTGACTATTTATTGTTACTTTAATGTTGGAGATATTGATTAGTTATGGAATTATGGTAGATGGTTTGGTTGGTATTTAGTTTTTTTTTTTTTTGTTTCACTCCTAAGATTTGGATGATGAAGTATTAATTGAGATTTAGTCCAAATTTAATATTTAATTATCCAAATTTTAAGACGTGACAAGAGTATGTGAGATGAGGACTAAAGATCTTGTCAAACACTTCATTTAACAAAAATAAATACGAATAAATGTTTCTGAGGGAGATTTGTAGAAGATATGGACGTGAATTTTTTTACCACAAATTGAATCTCAAGCATTTGATCGCTCTACATTCTTTTTGGTTCTAATTCCTTAAATTTTCCTAGAGATTGGCTTGTCTCCAACTGATAAAATCATATGACTATAAGTATCATATATTAATTTAATGGTAGCTCATGTTTTTCTAAAATAGAATAAAAAATGGCATAAATTAGAATGAAAGGACATGACTACATATTTACTGATAGCAGCAAAACTCAACCCGAACGCATGAGCAGAAAAACACAAAGAAGCATAAGATGACGCTTTTTTTATTTTTATTATCAAGAGAAAAATTAATAGCACTTAAAAACCATGTATGATTCCGATGAATACAAGCAGGACAAATGGTGAGGGGATGTAGGATGGATTAGAAGCTGAGATTGAGGTTGGAGTCACGACTGGTCGAATACCAGGTGTTGCTTTTGGAGCTACCAAACTCACCGGCGGAGATGCTGGTGTTGTTGTATCATCAACTGGTGGTGAAGCCATTTCTGCTGCTTTTGAAGCTGCTCACAGCACAAGGGAATTAAATCAAGAAAATTAATGCCTTAATTACATTAATTAGAGCTACTATCATTAACTTTAGAGTATTAAAATTAGAGGTTGTTTGGGGTGTCCTAAATAAGTGTATTTTTTGTCTTTTTGGACTAAAAAATTGAGGAAGAAAATATAAATATTTGGGTTAACTTTTTGACTTTTTATGGAAAATGTGTAATAAAAAATTGTAAAAATTGGTTTGTAGGAGAAAATTAAAATCGGGAGTTGTGCAGCCGTAATTGTTGACTTTTAGTGAATAGTGTTAACTTTTTAACTTTTTGAGTAACTTTTTGACTTTTTTACTTTTTCTGGACATGCCAAACTTGACCTTAGTCAAGATAAATTGGCGTAGATACCCGATTAATAAAATTAAAATATTATAAATTGAAAATTGCGACAAGTATTTGTGTACATTACCTGTGGGACTAAAAGGAGCAGAAGCATCAGGTGAAAGAGGTGAGCTAGTCGGACCAAATTGAACTGGACCTGCCAATTTTCAAATCTTTTTTAGCAGACTTTTTCATTTTAATACTCTATTATATTACGTAACTGGACCATTTATCACTCGTTTGGGAAGTTGAGTTAGACTTGGTTGGAGCTAAAATAATTATAAAAAGATAAAATAAGTTTTTTAGTCTTAGGTTAAAAAATATCACATTTAAATCATAATTATTTCATTTTTTTTCTCACAAAAGTCAACAAAGTCAAAAAGCCTATTCTAAACAAAAAATTTTAATCTTAGGCTAAAATAATCAAAAAACTAAAATTTCAAACGACCAACTTTAATAATTTGATCTATTTATTTTTTTAATTTTTTTTAAAATTTTCAATTTAAAAAATTAAATTAATTTAATAATGATAAAATGGATGATAAAAATGATTTTTTAAAATATATTGCTCATTTTTTAAAAAATAAATATTATCAAATCATGTGGGTGCATTTATAGGATAAATTTGAAAATTTTCACAAGTAACCTAACGGACGGGACCATTGAGCCCAGTAGATTGAACATAACGGATAATTATTTAGTAATTTTGAAATATAAATATGTGGTATTTTATAATATTATGATTGGTAGAGAATGTGAATAGGTGGATATTGTGTTGCGTGATTGAGAAATCTGAGAAGGCATATTCAATAATGATTGGTTAGAAAGTATAAATATGTGATACTGCAAAAATATTGAATAATTTTCTAAACTCGACGGATGTGATTTTTTTTTTATCTCGAGACTAGCGCACTCCTTATGTAATTCAGGATATTCAATTATTTACGAAAAAGTTAAGGAGCGGAAAAAATTATCAAAATACATCGTATACATATATGTACATATATATACTTCAGATTAGAAGCGAAAAGTAACCACAGATTTCGTTAACTTCCCGGTGGTACCTGGAGCTGGTAGCGGAACACCACTAGCTGCAAAATATAAAGAAATACACGATCAGAAATTAAACAAGTCTCAATATGATCACTAAATTAACAACTTAATCATTGGCAGAAGATGCAAGGATGCAAATTTTCAAAAAATGTTGCATAAAATATCCCT